GATAACTCACATTTGTACCAGGTTCTTAGCTGATCACAAGTGAGTGATAAATGAAAGATTTATGATAGCTTAACCAGTAATACAAAAACAGAAATCAAACAATTGTAGAGGTTTCGTATAATCTAGATATAATATATACCACCGATTTCAGATGAACTAAATGTCACTGATGTAATTAATAGCTCTAACCATGACTGTATTTTACTGGCCACCGCTTCTCAGTCGAATTCGTCTTGAAACTGATCACTAGTGAACATATTGTTATCACTAAAATAGAGATTTTGTGAAGGATAGTCAATCTCGAATTAGAGTATCCTGATTACTCCAACCTTGGTATTAGTATTAATATGGTCTTAATTTTACCATATAATCAATGTTTCATATAACTGTTTTGATGTACTTATAGTTTTTAATACATATGCAAGACCACATGATTGCGTAATCAAATTAAATTATGTTTTGGATAACTTATCTCTATTCTTTAATGTAGATTTAATGTCGTTATTACACACATTCTTTAAATAACCCTATATTTTTAGCCTTATCAAAATTTTCTTTTCAAAAATTGGTATGGAAATCTTAAGATGTGAAAAATGTGTTAGTTTTTTAACAGTTAAACAAATAAATATTTCCATTGAGACATTTAAAAGACAAGTTAAACGAAGAAATATTTCCTTTTAATTAGTTCTTCATCAAGGCTCTACACTAATATATATATGCTTTATAAGTGAGAAGAAAGTCTATACCAACTAGATGGTGATGAGTCAGTTATTATTATTTTCAGTAAAGGGTTGTGGGGATTGTTCAGCTCAGATTGATATGATGAATGGATCAATGCTAGACCACCATTGAAAACCTGGAAGCATCGGACGGCTGTTCTGTCCTAGCTTGGGATTCCTCGACAGTGCACATCCACGGTCCCACATACGGGACTCGAGCCCAAGACCTATCAGTCTCGTGCGCGAACACTTAAGCTCTAGACCGCTGAGCCAGCTTCCGACTGTGTTAATGTCAAAATTCAACCAATCCACAATATTGTGCGACTGTCCTCCATTGTCTTAAGTGACCACCATCTAATTGGTATTGACTATCTTCTCACTTATAAAGCATATATATTAGTGTAGAGCCTTGATAAAGAAATAATTAAAAGGAAATATTTCTTCGCTCAACTTGTTTTCTTGAGCAGATAAAGTAAAATGATTTCATCTTACCTCCTGTTGTTTGAATTATATTTGATCTGAGGTTATGTATCATATTTTCAATGCTTGAAGTAATCTGTTGTATACTCCACCTTCAGGAGTTTTACTAGTCATCTAATGTGTGAATGCTGATATGGATTAAATTTCAAGAGTATTTCCGTGTCTACCATGTAATGTCGAGACATTTGTTGAATTTATTAAAAATAATCACTAGAGTGAGTATACGCACTTAAACTTTAGTTTTTACGATATCGGTTGTGTCAACACTCGTATCTTAGCAACTAACTTCACATGTCATTAAACGACATTATTGAAGAGATAATTTTGTGAATAATGGCAATTAAAATCTGCCTTTCGCGTGGACGTTTAGTGTTTTTAAATTCTTCTAACGGGTTAAAGTTGAGTTTCATCATTTTTGGTTACAAACCTTCCTATAAATATGCTGTCAAAAACAGCTTCATTCGTTAGTCTGATCCCCAAAGTTATGGAGAAATTAAAAGTTGAGATAGACTCTTGGATGAAGAGAATTGTGTTATTATTGTTTATAACAGTCGTTACCATATTAGAAATTAGTGTCATGCCTACTAATTCCACGTTTTGTTTCTTCAACATAAAACTTTAAGTAAAAAGGCTGGTAGGTCAGCTGACTTGTGTTAGCCCTTGTTGCATTTTTGCAAGGACTCTGTAAAATTTATTCGAACTAACTATTGAATCTCTTTTCGTATGATCGAGTAGTTTTAATTAGCAAAAAACTGTTTCTTTACTACATTAATGACTCGGGACACCGTTGTATAATGATACACATCTTATCGCAAGAAAATCGTTTACCAAAGTCTTGAAAACAGAAATATTTCAATCAGAAGCCCATTTTTATCTTGTGCCATAGGTACCACATATTATAGTATGATTTCTCAGTAGAGAGTTGAGTTTCATTTAAATTACAAACTCATTTAAGTTAAACAATCACTGGAAACTTGGAAGCACTGGGGCTGCTCAGATGTGTGCATTCACCGCTGTGCGGCTCGAAATCAAACTCAGGACGTCCAGCCTGAGGCGTAAATACTTCGACTCCAGATCACTAAACCGGAATCCAACGGTTTACATGCTTAACTTTAATCAGCCCCACACCGGGACGAAGTGGTCATCTACTGCTTACAATGGTTGTCCAACTAATGTCGGTTGATAATTTCAGTGTAATTTCTGTCAGAAATTTCATTTCAGGCTCAAAATTCCTATACATTTGTTTTTCGACTTGCACAAATATATTCATAGCAGGTAGTTGTAGATAACTGAAGATACTTGAAATGAATTCTTTGGTGAGAGTTACAATCTATTATGTATGACAACTTTCACTAAATGTACGGTGAATACCCGGAACTGTTGAATATACATATAACGTTGGAAATGTGTCGGATAACCCTTTCACTATCCAATTTAAATCTCTAATATGAGCTTTTTACTCATATAACTCAAAATGTCTACTGAAAATGTATTACACTACCTGTTTTTAAATCTCTAGACTTTCATTTTATGTGAACATCGACAATCAATTCAAATTTCAACCGGTTAAATTAAAAACTAGTGTTGATTCTGGTGAACACGAGGTAACTGTTCGTAAGTAACAATGACAAGCAATTATAAAACACGACGTCATAAATACCTTGTCAGTCTACGTAACTAAATGCGATATCCAACGTACAAAGGGTCGAAAACCTCTTACAGCCTGTGCACAACGATGCGTAGTGATTACCACGATTCAAATATAGGCCCCTTTCCAAACGTGCAACCATATGAAATTACAAATATTGCGTGGTGAAAATATAGCTTGGTTATTACGCAATAAGAGTGAACGACAATCGAAATTCATTTTATTCTGCAACATAACTATAATTATATTCGGAAAGTTAATGTGTATGTATAATCATGGGATGTAATTCTTGTTTAAACTCTTTAATGAGCCATCTCATTCATAATATATGATAAGAAGGAATAAACGATTACATACACTTACAATCCCCATCACCCAAAACACACATAATGATGTGATAACAGATATGAATGTGCGTTTGTTCAACTCAATTGATGTGCATTGCGTATGAAAGCTGACAATAACCACATGACGTTTTCAAGTAAGCCAATATTATCAAAACTGATCAGTGAAAGGTCGATCCATTTTTTTACAAAACAAACGTGTTAAGAATCTATTCAAAACATCGATAGTTACAGTACTATGATGTCGTCAGGTCATTTGTTGATATATATATTTCTGACATGGCAAGCAAATTACATTTCTTTGAAGTTTATGCAATAATGCATACATTTTTACCCTGCAATTACGAAATAATCCCTGTCTTTCATCTATAATATGATCACAGTAGACACCAATTTGAATGGCTCGATAATATGGAGCGTTGTTTCACTGCTTAAGCGATTAGAAGAGAAAACCAACTTAATCAATAGAATATAATCAGCACTCAGAATTAGACAGTATGATATTGGTTGCTGTTAAGTGATGATCTGTTGAGTAGATATCACAGACATATAAGTCATTTCCTACTTGAATAGCTGTGATGACATCTTTGACTATTGGGGGGAGCAATAATTTGCGCAAAATTGCTGATAACTAGCGTGGAATGTACGTCAAGACCTAATTTTCCTTTATATAAACTTGTACAAGTGCATGCAAAAAGGGAATTCAGGAGGAGGTGATAACCTGAGAGTAAAAACAGGTTGTATATCCTTCTAAGGCCAGACAGGTCGGGTTATCACAAGGACACATGGTAAGCAAGAAGTACATGTATGGAAAGATTTACTGTGAATGAGAAGTTGATTTATCTGGTCAAGGGCACTGTTCACATATCTTAGTCTGAATTACTTTAGTATTATTTATACATATTCATGACTTACATACGTATTTACTCAGTTTTGGTAACAGGGCTTTCTATCCACCTTTAGTCTTCTCTCTGAATGAATTAGGTTTTAGGAAGCGTGTAGTGTAATTACTGAATTAAACTAGTGAAGCACAATAGCTTAGTTACAATTGCTTTCAATCAACCTAACGTTTTCTTAATAATCTATGAACCTACTTGGGACTTTCCTTGATAGGAAGACACATTTTTTCGCAGATGCAGAATACATTCTGCCATATATAATCACGATTCTGAAATAGTTCCTTAAATTGTATTTTATTAAACCAAAATTATAGTATTCTAGTCCTATTCCGGCACATTTAAAACACGCATTGGAAACTCATTTATATGAGTTTTTACATACGTGATGTTCCCTAATCTGAATAGTTATCAAATTTGCACTGCCTATCAAGACATTACAAAACTTTAAAAACGTGAGTTATGTGAATTTCTACACACGTCCAAATAGCTTAGACAAGTAATATGGAATATGATCAATAAAGACATATTAAAATATATATGTAGAGCCTAAACTTATTTCCCTGAAAAGCTAATCATGAATATGTACGTTACAGCTCGACTGAGTTCATTACTAGGTCAAGCCCAACACCACCACACCAAAGTTGGATTTACAGTTGGGAAGACAAATATTAATAAAAATATCCTTTAGCCTGTGTTTAATTTTCAACATTTCATGTGAATCACAGCAAAGAACGAGTTATAAATTTGGTCAACAGTTTTTTTGTCGCACGTTATTTTAACTGCTTGCATAAATGGCTCTCTAAGCGAATTTCTCTCTTAACAGTTTGACTGACCGATTTCAACTGTAAAAACCAAGTCAGCTCAACAATAGACAAGCCTGTCGGCAATTGAGGATAAGACATAGGCATATAGTAATAATAACACTAATAATATTCTTTATACACACCTATTTATCAAACATAGGGATAATTAAAAAAAACGTATAAAATATGAAAAAAAGTTTCGCTTAGTATAAAAAAACAGATCCTGAATACAACAGTGTTGAAATGCTTAAATGTTTATTATTTGTTCTTGTTCCATCTGGAAGTAATCAATAAGTGGTGAAAACTGGCAAGATTATTTTGTAAAACAAACTTTGAATATACAATGAACAATTGCATGAAACAAATCATGTTCAACAATTAGAACAATGAAAAATAATGAAGGGCAATCTCATATAACGAACATGACAGGATAGGAAAAGATATAAAGCTGCTTCTAGAATATATAGGTGAATAGCAAGTAAATTTGTTTGTTTAATTAACAAGTTTGTTTCACTACTGATTATTTAATTCATATCTTTAACATAAATAAATAAGGGAACTAGGGAAATGAAAAGAACATAAATACATGTAAAGTATATATATAGAGGGATTCGTTGAAAAAAAAGCGGGAGATAACACTCGAAAAAGAAAACCATAATACGTTAAACAATACAACGAAATCCGTAACTTATATTGCAGTAAAATAACATCAATTTCATTTTAATTGTTGCCGTATTTCTTTAGAAAAAAATTAGTTTACAAATATTGAAGTAAAGGATATACATCTTATAAAAATTCTATACAAATATAAGCTTATTTTCAGTGATACTTAATGTTGACTTATCATCATGTGAATTATTCAAATTCTTTAACTGCATATTACGTTTGGCGAGTTCAAGACGTTCACGAGCCTGTTGTCTAGCAATCATATTGTTTTGTTTAGCTACAGTGGATTTAGTAACTTTACGATTTAACTGAAAGAAAAACAATAAAATACAGAATAATATCAAGTCAGTCGCAATGAGAGAATTTGTAAACTATATGAATAATTATAAATGTTTAGGATATATTACGTAATGATAAGTAGTATTGAAAATAAAAAAATAAAGCATTTCTGATTAACAGAATATATATATGTATATATGAAGAGAAATTAGGATAAGAAGTTTTCCAGACTGTTGCAGGTCAATATTATCTAGATATTTGCATTTCATAAGCAAATAACAGCGACTGGGAACCCTCTAAAGGCCTCTTATATTTGATGTCTTATAGGACTTACTTATTTGAATTAAACTGACACATTTTACAATACTATTTTTTATTATCTTGACAAGGTTATGTAAACAATGTTGTAACAGTTATCATTGCTTTTCTAAAAGGTATAAAAGCCTCAATTGTTAAGACTATTCTTTTCTGATTTGGGAGTGTGGTTGTTTATTGTTGAAATGTTTTATTGATTTGATCTGTTTATTTATCGCTGCAATTTTAATAACGTTTCATCTTCCATCCGTTTCCAGCATAAAATACAATAAGGCTAAACTAAGAACTAGTTGACCATAATTTACTATAGGTAGAATTTAATCGTTCTATGAACGGATTTTCGTCAGTTAAAATGAAAGAATATAATGCTAATTTATAGATGACATGCTGCTCGATCATCTGGGCTACCTGTTCCTGCCATCTAGATATTTCAACAAGTTATAGATTTTTGTTTGTTTTAATATATCACTATGTTTATTAATCGCATAACCTATTCTGCTGCGTTTCTGAAAAGTGTACAACCTTTCGTTGTCGAAGTTACAAAAAACTCAATGAGAGACAATGTGGTTGCTGACAATATAAAACGAAAAGAATGCACACTATTCAGATGTTCATTTACTGAACTGCCAACATCTAACTGGCGATCACTCAATATTTATCGCCAGGACCGACCAAGAAGAAAGAAACGGAAACTTGTTGAAACACTTTACGCTGAGAATTCTATATTGTATCAAAAATATAATATTGAATAAAGCTAGTAATGATGATAATAATAATAATGATAATAATAATAATAATAATAATAATAATAATAATAATAATAATAATAAAACATGACCGAATGATGGCTGCTCACGTGAATGAAGTTTATCTTCCAACAGAATAGCATTTTCATTTACAAAATATTTAGCACAAGAATAAACATGATTAGAGGTAGTTGAACAAACAACTATAGGTCATCCACTCTCCAACAGAATCAACGCCTAGATTTAAGGTGTCATTCTTACCTCGCCATATCAAATTATATATACATATTTCTGATATTATACAACTCAAGTATCGAATTAGTTTTTATATAAATCTAAAATAATGAACAAGTCTGTTATTTTCCGTACTTATCAATGGCCAAGCTTAATTAATTTGTAAGATTCTGAACTCAATAGAAAATGGTGTAAGCGAGTGCTTAGTCATAAATTCCATTTTAACATTAAGAATTAATTCGGACACATTACCAAAATAGTCTAAGCACATAGAAGAATTTAACCAACTTTTCACAGTTCACAGTCAGTCATACATAGAAATGAACCAGTTGTAACAAAAATCTTTAAATAAAAGCTTGCAAATAATACCTTTCGTTTCTCTGGTGAACTGGAGTCACCTACTGAGATATTTTGCGTAGCAGATAGTGCGTTATCAACCGGTTGCCAATTGTTAGCCCGTAAAGAATCCACTTGTTTGAATAAACCACGAATGTCATCTACTTGAAGTGATACCATAGCCCAGAAACCATCCAAATCACTAACCAAAGTGATTAATGTATTAGGCTCATTTACGAAATTGTTGTCAACCCCAACTGTTTTTGAATTCTCCCAGGCAAGGTTTTGATGGCATAAGGCACGAAATTGACAAAACTTCTCAGAAATTAGTAGTCTCGCTTTGCCAGAAGCAGTTCGTAAAAGACCAGAAACTAAATTTTTCCACAAAAAGAATAAGAATTGACAGTTGAGCAACAACTAACTACTTTTTCCATCTAATGTTGGCTCGATTTGAAATAACGAATTATGAATAATTGATCAACACGAAATATAGGCAAATCAACAAAATTTTAGACAAATTAAAGTATTATGCTGTGAAAACTGACAATTCATTCCATCTTACATACGCACATGGAAAAAAATCTGTCCACAAAATTCATTAAAGAGACTAACGGACTTTATCAAATAATTCAATTAATTTTCAATTTTACACCTAATTATTGATGAATTTGTTTGCATACGGTGTTTAGAAATTTACGTTTTTTTTCGTTCATAAAACATAAATCACATTAAAATCTTCTTTGAATCAAAGAAAATATTCTGTAAACAAACAAAGTCTTCTAATTTAGACAAAATCACATAAACATTTTCACGGATCGAAACATAAAATCTCATATGTATCGGTAGTCAGTCAGTCAGTAACAACGTAGAACTTCGTATCGGTAAGTGGTAGTTCTAGAAACTTTAAATATATAGCAATTTCTTCTTAAATACGACCCGTACTTACTGTGTTAATTATTCATTATCTCAAGTTTTTCACGAATATATCTAACTAAAGTTTATACTTTTCTTCACAATAAGATTTGTTTGCCTTTACAGATAATACACTTCTGTATCACAAATTATATCATGAAATCCTTTCTTTTTATAACATACTTTGAATGGATCAATGCACACTCAATAAACACTGACAAGTTATTCGGAAACGAACTTCGATAATAACAAATTCATATTTAGAAAAATAAGTTATAGAATGAACTATTATCGTTACATTCTATGATAGGATTTAGCTTTATTACGAATACTGGTTAGCCAACATTTCAGAAGTACATATTCAAATTAACTATAGTTCAGTTGATCCGATACAAAGAGGAAACACTATTTAATGAATTTCAAACTATTCACTACTTTTTATGCTTTTCAAAACAAGAAACAATATACATTTCACAAACAGGAAGTAAATAAAAATTTCATTATTTTAAAGTGTAAATTAAAAAATCAAATTTGTCCGATTACAAATCTTAGTGGTAAATTTTGCTATCGAATATTTTGTTTAAAACAGTTAACATGAAATATTATGATGAGCTAAAGTACTGAAAATAAACGAATTGAATCTTTAAAATCCTGATGTTAACAAACATTTTATATAGTTGATTTTTCATGTAATAAGTAAACAGAGATAGAGTATATGTAAATTAGAATTTTGTTATATCAACTTAGTTAAATAATAATCTATACAAGTAAAAAAAAAACATGTATACATTCTACCATAGATCAATTGCAAATGAACATTAGCATAATAAAAGGATTTTTTTTAGTGAGTCAGTTAAAAAGTTTAAACCTTTTAAGATTAAAAAAAATGTATTTGTAACTGTTTCCAGAATACTTATGTTGTATAAAAAATTATTTATTGCCATATTAGTAAGAAAAGATTTAAAAACATATTCATGAGAGTGTTAATGTTAAGTGGTTAAATTATTAGACATTTTTTTTACTGAATTACAACGTTTAGCTCTATTTTTATGTTCGAATAGTCAGGAAGCACCGAAATTTCGGTGAAGTTACGCTCACTGAGCTAACTATTCTAATCATGAAGTTTTCATTGTCTTAGTAGACAAAAACAACAGTACAAACATTGCATAGAATTGAGCTATACACTTGAGGTTTTAGATTTGCCATGTTATATTCAGTGTTTAACACATACAATATCGATTTTATGTCATCAAGAATATGGCTAATCAAACTGTAAACACTTTCCAAATTATCCATTTGATGATGAATAGTCTTTAACTTCGAAAAACATTACAGTGGACAAAACGACCACCCTTTTCATCTTTGTCTTAGTTACTAAACGTCACAAATTATCTCTGCTCATAACGACGGATGAAGAAACGTTAGACTTGAAAAATGCTGAAGTTTTGGATAGAGGTAGCACAAACAAAAAGATAATTTTTAGGAGATTCACACTTATATAAGTGACCAGTAAGTAGTGAAATAGACACATTATCAACCAACTTAAAACAAGATAAACAAGTACAGAGCCAATAATTAGGTAAGGAGAGAAGACAATCAAAACAAATGTTCACAAAATAACAGTATAAGCATTAATAACCACCAATCGAATTCGTCATGGAAAAAACACATTTTGATGGCTCACTTTTATCAGAAGTTTGTGCTGATGATGTCATCTAGAAGGATAATGAAAGTTTTTGATTAAAACACATAGCTCAGAGAGCCTGGTTTCCACAAGACTATTCTTTTGACCTGAAAATCACCATTATGTTAGCAACTAAATGTTTAGCACATGTCATAAATCCTATTACCTTGACTATTTTTTAACAAGATACATTGAATTATAACTCAAATTATTCAAGACTTTTGAATTTATTGATGAAATATCCAACTAACTACTTAAAGAATGGAAGGATAGACAATAAAATACGTTCCTTTCATTAAATAGAATCCGTTCATCTTGAATAAAAGAACAAATCACAGCTAAATTTATGCATAAGCAAAATATAACTTGTACATACAGACACTATCGAAAATAATAATAATATTATCTGATACCATTACCTTCATCATTCAAATCAACTTCATTATTAAGATCAGTTTCAATTTCACAAACTTTATTTAATAATTCTTTCTCTGTTTGATCTACTTGTTGAAGATAAAAATTCCCATCTACTTTAATTTCTGATTGATTTGACAACGTTGTATAATCAGTATTGAGTGACTGCTTGTCTTTGATAGAATTGATTATTACAGATGAATTCCCTTCAAATGATAGTTCAGCGCTGCTACTAAGTGTATCAACTTGTAGAAAATAAAAGTGTGATTAGTCCATTTAGTTAGTTATTAAGCAAAAATTTAAAAAAAAACAATATTTCAAAGTGACTAGTAGTTTTTTTTAGACAAATAATCGACTATCAACTAGTAAAAAAGATAAACATTACAATATAGGATACATAGCATAGCACATACTCGACAATTAGCAAGTGATTATACATTTGAGCGTAAACAACAGTAGATGAGAACGAAATCTAACTTCTATCTCAAAACTTGGATAATTCGAAATTACATCATAGTACATTTACAACCCATTAATGATTTCTTTTGTATATAAAACGTGGCAAAATTGTAATTGGACAGAAAATATAAATTGAAATGTTGCAAATGAACCAGTAGTATTGGGAACAAGTGTGCACAACACAAATTAATATAAATTATCCTCTTTTTCTTGTTGCATAACAATAACAATATGTGATTGTTAGTAACAGTCAACTTCTGATTGAAAATTTTACTAATTCACTTATACAATGCAAAATATCAATTCTATAACTATGTATTCCACTTCATTCATTTATGAATTAATACCTGTAAATAGTAGTCACTTTGTCCACTCTGTCTATCTTTCAATTACTTTGTAAATCATTCGTAACTATTTTAGTAAGAACTTTTGAATTTGTAATGTTATTTTATCCAATACACCAAAACTTGATTAGCATGAGGAAAAACTAATCGAAAAGACAAGTTGCTACACTCTTTTAGTCACTTTTTTGAATAAAGAAATTTATCTCAGTAGCCAATAAAATAAAATATAAAACACTGAAAGGAATATAGCTATCAAATACCTTTGAGGATTTCTTGAGAAAATTTAATATAAATCACTGGCCGATCTTATATAGATAGGATCATAAAAGCTTAGGATATGATGGAGATATGTTATAAACACCTTTCGCAAGTTCACATATTCGATGTGAATTGATCGTACTCGTGGAAGCGAACTACTGACGAGTCCCACAATAGGGCGAAACGACTGTCCAGTGCTTCCAGGTTTTCAATGGTGGTCTAATATCAATCGGTTCATGATCTCAATCAATAACAAATTTTGAACAACTAAGAAATATTATCACTCGTTACTTATTGACCAGTTGTGTTTTTCACAAAACCTGAAACCCGTGTTTAATTTTATAGGATATAAACAAAAGTTACTCTAAAGAACGCAACTGTTATCTACTGCCATTTATAGTAATCATTTTTAAAGAAAATAACTGTACTATTAAAATGTCATCAAAAAATAGGACAAATATTCACCTAATTCCGTTTTATGTTGTATTGAAGTATTGAGCTCTCCCTTACTCTTATTCACCTCGCTATAAACAGTGATGGAATCTGAAAAGCTTGGAAAGAAAGGTTTGTTTAGTGCAGTTGTGGGAGTTATAACACGACCACGAGGACTAGCATGAGCAACTGCCAACATAATGAGTGAAGATCGATTCCAATGTTCTTGATCATCAGTGTTATTGGTGTTACTAGTTGTCTAAAATCATACAAACAAATTTAAATAACCAGTAGAAAATGTCACTTAAGGAACGAGTATACAAATTAGGGGGCAAGTAAAGTTTACGTATTATAGAAGATGAAATACTGTAGTGGTTTAAAAATGGTAGAACTTGCTCCTGACTAATTTTAATGTGTTCGAATTAACTAGGAAAAAGTCAAGCTGCGAACCAAGGTGGTGATAGAAAGTATATCATAGTTGGTGTCATCATTGTGCAAACGTATGTATATTCGCCGACAAGTGGAAATCCTCTTGGTAGAACGATACACAGGCCATAGAAGAAGCACATCACACATGTACCAGTTTACAGTAATACTGTAGCCCCCAAATGCCCTGATACGGCCGAGAGTGGGGAGAGACAGCTCTCCCTCTCTAGATGCTCTCACATGGCCACGTGCATACAACCACTGTCAGGAAAGTCCGACTCACTGCCTTCTTGTGACGGCGGTGTTGTCTACGAAATTGAGAGGACAAAAACCGAATTTCCGGCCCTTTAACCGGGTTGATGGATACGGAGGGTACATCTAGAAGAGTTGGAAAACCCTGATTTCAAACCAATGGTGTACGTGGGCCACAGAATTCTGAATGAACAAATGGCGTATGAAGCAATCGTTGGTTACCGACTACCATAGGACTGCATCTCCTTACGTTGCTCTACTGCCCTGTGGATCAGACCGTTAGGTCGAAGGCTCCAGACGTGGTCCCCTAAGAAAACCACATGCTTCGGTTTGGGCACCCGGGCAGTATCACAGCCCTCACATAAATCTAATGAGATTTATGTGGCGCATATGTATCTGGTGCCCCCTTGTACCCATATCTATGTGTTAAAATAAACAAATAAGCTTGCAACCATGCATATCATTATAAAACTAAACCGTTGTAGTACTGCCTGAAATCAGAAGTTTAACTAATGAGAGAATGTATAATCCATATCACAAACACATTCCATTGAAAGTGTTATTGGTTAGCGTTTACCGACAAAAGCAAATAAACCTTCTTTCGTACAAATCTCTTATTTCACCGAAGCTGTTCAATTAAAACTTCACCACTTAAAATGGCGCCAATACTGAATTTCTTTGTTAGTATATTCTATAACACAGCTAAACAATGAACACGACATGGAGTTTCGCGAATTCGGACATATTAACATACACGCGCACACACAGAGAGGAAGATAACTGGCAGTTTCAACAAATAAAATGCATGTGAACTTGACTATTTAACAGTTCTTTATCTCTTCCGAAGTAAACCTGGGATAGGACTTTAAAACAGAAAATTTCATTATGCCACATAATAATTACACAGTATGCATTGACCGCAAATGCTTACCCTTTTTCTTCTCAACTTGACATTTTCTGTGCTACCATTCCAAACGCCATCACGACCAGACTAAATAAGATTTAAAATAAATACAAAGTTAGAAAATATTATTTTCATAAAATGTTGGCGTTGCATATAAAAACAACATTCTAGGAAAACCATAAACTGTTCAAAATCCTAGTACAGTGAAATAAACGCTGAACTTTTATACTTAGAGAGCACTGAGTAGTTGTACGATCTTAGCGTGAAACTCGTCCGAAGCGCAAGCCTTTGATCGAATACGAAAGAAAACTTGGAATTTTGAGGTTTCGTTTCTACTTTCATGATTTAGGTTGGTCATTTTCGTCGTTCTTCTCAAAGTTAGCTATCGATAGAGATGGTGCAGATTGATTACTTCAAAGGACATGATGGGAGAGCGAATTATGATACTATAAATCGTCTTTAGCAACATCGAAATATCAAATTTACAATACAGTGTTAAGTGTAAACCCCGAGAAGCGAGTAGTTCTGATTTATGTCTAAGGAACCTGACCTCTTCGAGGTGAAGATTTTCGACGGCTTTAAGTTTGCCTCACATACACTCCAAAAGACTCTTCACATTTAGTGACAACACCCTGTAAGTAATCGTGAAGTACATTGAAAGACTACGGTTCAACCAACAATATCATCCTTAAATACCGACTTTAGAGGCTACGATACAACTTACCCACGACGTTCTAGCAACTATCATGTACAGCTTCGTTTAGCAATACTGCAAATAAGTAAAAACGATCAGAGCGAGACAGTTCTATACATTTCTCCTCAGATGAATCATAGTTGTGTTGATTCAGCATTTATTAGTCTACAACAACTCCATGAATGGTGTTTTATAAATCAGAAAACATAAGGACAGTTGGAAATCAAAGTCAGTAGTGATAGATTCGAAACTCACTTATAATATAAACTACAAAGTGTACTTCTGAGAGGAATGGAAGTTATGTTTGTTGTATTGTCGTTTGAACTGTGTTCATTAACACTATTAAGTTCTGGTTATCATAGTTGCTTTTCACTTCCTACATTTTGTTTCGAGCGACGCACTTTTTTATCAATTTTTTTATAGTTCACGTCGCAGACTGATTTCAGTCAGACTACCACTGAAAACTACCAAGCACTGAAGTCATTTTTTCCTAATATGGGACTCCTCAGATGTTTGCAATCATGGCCCTACCGAGAATCAAACCAAGGAGCTCCAGCCTTGGGTACAAACCTCTAGACCACTATGCTGGGACCCGATGGTGTAAGAGTTTAACTTCAGTCAAAATTCACGGTATCGCACGAACATCTTCCATTGTCTCACGCCCAACCACACCTGTCACAGTTTCTCACTAGAACTCCTCGAATTACATCTGTAAGTTACATTACAGGAAACACAACAATCAACTGTAAATCATGTATGATGACAACCAAAGTTCACAAAGGCACCTAGACGCGAATTTGGTGCAACTATATTTTACTACATAGCACTTAATCATAAACTGACCTCTCTTAACTATTTGGACTCAATCATGTGTCAACAAACAACTACAGCAACTGAATGTTGTGTTGAGTAACAATGCAGATATTTATCATCAAACTATTTATCATAAGTGTGAACTAAGTTGATGTCACTTTAGTTACCGAGGGAAATGGTGTTGTAAAGCAAACTTATTAACTCAATGTAAAACTAGTAAAAATACCTCAGTTCGACGACAAGATGATTGGGAATCCTCTAAAATAGATCCAACATCTCCACACATACTTCCCACAACTCGCGACTTTTTCTCACCGAAAGTATTTGTCACTGTACTTGGAATTGCAGAAGTAACTACTTCATGTTTAATATCTGATGTCCCACTATGAGAACGGGCAATGGATAGCTTATGTCCAACAGCATGCTGAATTACTAAAGGAGAAGTTTCCGTATGGACTAGATTATGAATTGATTTTGATGCTGAGTAATATTTACTGTAACCGAACGCTGCCACTGATGCGCTGAGATAACTGGGTGTATCTGAAATAAAAAATAACTCTATTTTAAATTTAGAGGAAAATATAGATCAACTGGGAAAATTCTGATTGTATTGCTCACCGTACTTTACACAGAAAATGTATGTCACCCAACGTTCTAACTGATAAGTATAAATTGATATAGAAACCACTCAGAACTTACAGCTACATACGGCCAAAGGAGATGTGCGATACTGAGACGCTACAGATTGTGGGAGTTTTGCACAAGACTGTGAAATTAACGCTTCTGATCGACGAAGATTATTTGGCTCAATGTTATTTATGTCATGGTGAAATGGTACTCCGAAATGATGAATTTCGTTTCCAACAGAACGTATACTATTTTCACGTGTTACAGCAGAAAGTAGTGGGGAACTGGTCACCGGCGAATGAATGCCAGTGGTACAAAATAGAGAAGATGGTGAACAGTTTGGGGAGTTTTTGACTTCAGTATCCATTCTGATATTATTAACTAGTGAATAAAACAAGAGTACGAAGATTTAAATGCATGAATGCTTATCGAAACAAACATTAAATAAAGAATAACAAAACTATTATTAAAACATTAATTGACCATAGCAATTGTACACTATTATTTATTTATTTAAACACAAACAATGGTACAAGAAGGCACTAAATATATATGGCCACATAAATCATTCGATTTATGTGAGGGCTGTGATACTGCCCGGGTGCCCAAACCGAATCATGTGGTTTTCTTAGGGGACCACATCTGGAGCCTTCGACCTAACGGTCTGATCCACAGGGCAGTAGAGCAACGTAAGGAGATGCAGTCCTATGGTAGTCGGTAACCAACGATTGCTTCATACGCCATTTGTTCATTCAGAATTCTGTGGCCCACGTACACCATTGGTTTGAAATCAGGGTTTTCCAACTCTTCTAGATGTACCCTCCGTATCCATCAACCCGGTTAAAGGGCCGGAAATTCGGTTTTTGTCCTCTCAATTTCGTAGACAACACCGCCGTCACAAGAAGGCAGTGAGTCGGACTTTCCTGACAGTGGTTGTATGCACGTGGCCATGTGAGAGCATCTAGAGAGGGAGAGCTGTCTCTCCCCACTCTCGGCCGTACTAGGGTATTTAGCGACCGGTTAAGATATTGGCTAACTTTTATAATTGGCGCTTATGATCCCTACTACCCCGAGAATAATAAGAAGTCATATTTGCGATTAAATCAGTGGATTTGAATCTTCTTAACCCTTACCATACATTAAGTACGGTGACTGTCATATAAGTATCTCTCCTAGAATCTGACAGACATTTAAAACTCTAACATTACTCAGGTACAATATGACAATACATTTTTTGAATCATTTTCATTATTATACACATCTTTACGTGGTAGTAGATAATCCTTCTTAATACAACCTAACCGAGTTGTACTGACTATAACGCGTTCCATTTTAGGTCCTATTACCCAAGGTCGAACGAAGAATGATGAAATTTAAGGTGGATAAAGCCTTAGTTGACGAAATAGTAATGCAAACGTTAATTTAGAGAAGTCGTATAGTTTCAAAAAGCCCAGGGGTCAAACGTTAAGCCATCAGGGTCAAGTGGAAAGACATCAATAACGATGAAAAACCGATACATACGACTTCTCATAAATATTTCCACCAACCAACACTAACTTTAGGTAGTTTGACTATTTATCTAAATAAAGAAAATCTGTCCAATATAGTTATGCCTGAGCCTTACTTGGTTATTATCAATTCATTTGCACAATTACTGATTAAAAAACTACATTTATTTCTTTGAACACGAAAATATTGGCACAAGGAGGCACCAAATGCATATGCGCCACACAATAACGATGAGAGTATGAAGATAGAGAATGTAAAGTGTGTATAAGAAAAAAAGAACAATAACGAACAGAAATTGGTGCATGATAGTGAAACAATAATAAAAGAAGTAGTTCAGTTAGCAAAGGTACAACCAGAAAGAATTCTTCTAGTTAAAGTTACGTTCGCTTTTATGAAGAAAGTTACAACAGCATCGCCACTTGTTTCTATTCAGAACCATGTTTGATAACAACTCAAGCCACTATGTTGCACAATCTCTAGGACTCCAACCAGGGAGTCGTGAAGGTCCAACAGAAGCCAGTCCTGTACAACTTTCTTTCATACCGCGACACTGTCATACACTGACCATCTCTCCGCATTTTGCAACCAGTCCCAGTGTCGGCAAATAATGCACGACGTGGAATTCTCTGGGACGACATTCGTAGAATATGTCCAAGACACCGAAGTCGGTGTCTCAAGATGGTGACACCAATTGCATTATCGTCTCTGCGCCCGAACACACGATGCCGAACCTCTGCATTACTAACACGATGTTGCTATTGGATGTCAGCAATCCTTCGGAGACAACGATGATCAAACACAGAGTCGTCTAACATCCTCAACTCGGAGAGGCCAGGTTTCACAATCATAGAGCAAAACTGCTTACCGACGCGAGGTTGGAACACTCTAATTCTCAAATTTTCGCAAACAACTATCAGTTCAATAACCTGCCACTATCTATAAAAGGGCATGAGTTAAGTCATCTGGGTCTGGTGACATGTGGCGCTTTAGGGGTTGGAGTTCCGGCTCGTTAGGTGCATCAGTCATCACCGGTCATGGAGAGCAGGAACGTCTGACCGAAGTTGCCGGGACAGCAGACCAGTTGGATTACTTTTCGAAAAACTCTGCCTATCGTCCGACGTCGGTAGATGTTGTTGAATGGCATTATCTCATCTTCACAGATTGTTTCACACACACTAAACTACTTGCCGCCAGTGACTCGGATGGATCGAAAGAACTTCCGGTAGTTACCAGATGCAGCTGCTACTTTAAACTCAATGGCACGCTCCAACCACCAGGCTTCTCAGTCCTTATGCAAGCTTCGCACAAATCCATTACGTAACAATCTCCATTTATGGTCAAGCTCGCAGCCACTCAGAGTAGACCGACGTGCTTCAATGAGTTGTGAGGAGCCTGTAGAAACCCAGTGCTTATAAGCAGGACATTTCGCGAAGCTGCAAGCGGCTTTTCACTCGCCGTTTCCATGGTATCACGCAACTGTAGCCAATACTTATCTATGCTGCTCGATGGGCTAGTAGCTAGCCTTAAACCTAGCTGGGTTTGGTATTTAGTTGCAACAGCAGCTGCAACCAATTTGCTGACATTGGTCCGTTTAGAACGATGAGCTTGTTGGCCAGTGAAACATAAGATTAACGCAAGCAAGGTCATGATCAGAGTCCAGATAGGTAATCCAAAAGGAGAGGTAGTCTTGTACACAACTATGCCAGAGATAGCTGATCACGATGTGATCAATCTGAGTTCAAACTTGAGATGCTGAAGGAGAGCATCAGGTGGCACATTGGCGATGACTGTGCCGGAAGTCAGTGCTAGCTGAAAACAGATTGCAGCCTACGCAAAGTTACAGTAGACAGTCACCGTTATGACCTGTGACCAACAAGTCCCGATTGGTCTGTTTGAATGGATGTGTGGTTTCAGGAAGACTGGTTCAGTATTCGTAGTTGGTGGTAGCATTCAACTTTCGACCAGTCGGTGACTCCATATCGTTTCGATAGAACAGGGTTTCCACCATAGGCTAGCTGCTGTGTATGTTGAAAAATACGCAGGATGAGAATAAAAGGGAGTAGATAAGTAACGTAGTGCAAAAGAAATAGGAACGAATGTTATCAAATGATTCGGCTGAATGAGCGTTGAAGCAAAAGTAATTTTGCCAGTAGCAGTTATCATTTGATTTGTGTAGGAGCTGGGATACTGCCCGGGTGCCCAGACCGAAGCAGGTGACTTCCTTAGGGGACCAGATCCCGAGCCTTTGACCTAAAGGTCTAATCCACAAGGCACTGAAGCAACGTTACGAGATGCAGTCTCATGGTGGATAGTGACCAACAATAGGTTCATACGTCATAAAAAGTATAAATGGAGGTGAACAGATCATAATTCACTTTTTGCCAAAGAAAAATGAAAAGAACTACATGGAAGTTTCAACTCACGTTCAGATTGCATGGAAACATGGATGTTGTAATCAACGCCAGTATCTTGAGCCTAGAAAATATACACAATAAGAACCAAACATTTTTTCATGACCAAGATGTAATGCTGTCTTATGGATAACTATTTGATTATTGTAGAATGTAAATGTTTTACTACTAATTGTTTTTATTTGTGCTGGATTAATATAAACTGTCGGCCTGATGGAATATCTGGGCTACCTGTTGCTACTACTAGATATTTCAACAAGTTATCTCTTTTATTTACTTTAACACATTATTATGATTTTTATTTATTCGAGAACTTATTTATTTATTTGAACACATGAATATTGGTACAAGAGAGCGCCAATATATATGCTATGGTTCCTTAGATCGTAAATCAGCTATGGTTCCTTATTCGAGAACTGCAGCTAGATAGACTGGAGCACCAGCAGCAACTCGCTCAGCGTAATTGTCCTTGCGAAGAAGACGATGTACACGACCAACAGGGAATTGAAGACCAGCACGGGCTGACCTAGTTTTAGCCTTACTACGAACTTCACCTTTACCGCGTCCACTCATTATTTTAAGAAGTAGAGAAACGTGTACGTGATTACAAAACACATAACCTATTCAAGTGCATATGAGAAGTTTACGATTTATGTGAGGGCTGTGATACTGCCCGGGTGCCCAAACCGAATCATGTGGTTTTCTTAGGGGACCACATCTGGAGCCTTCGACCTAACGGTCTGATCCACAGGGCAGTAGAGCAACGTAAGGAGATGCAGTCCTATGGTAGTCGGTAACCAACGATTGCTTCATACGCCATTTGTTCATTCAGAATTCTGTGGCCCACGTACACCATTGGTTTGAAATCAGGGTTTTCCAACTCTTCTAGATGTACCCTCCGTATCCATCAACCCGGTTAAAGGGCCGGAAATTCGGTTTTTGTCCTCTCAATTTCGTAGACAACACCGCCGTCACAAGAAGGCAATGAGTCGGACTTCCCTGGCAATGGTTGTATACGCGTGTCCTTGTGAAAGTATTTCGAGGGAGCAGGCTCCCTTTAACCTCGGCCGTGTCAGAGCGTTTGGGGCCTGGCCCAATGCATATTTTAAGAAGTCGTACATTATTTATAACTAATCGGCTAAATAATTTGCGCAGGGAATTCAATAGCACACCTTGGAGTCAATATTGAATAGTTGGCCGTTACGAAACTTAGTATCTTTAATTTGAATACACACACATAAATAGAGTTGACAAGAAACTTACTACGACTTTATAACTAGAATTTTGACCGCGAACATTTTGTGAATGTGGTGAGGGGGATTTCATTGGATGTGGTGCGAATATGAGCTTACGGGGGACTGGAGCAGATCCAATGTCCTGGGTGACCAACTGCAACTCCTCTGATAAGTCGTCAACTGTGGAGTGTGTATACTGGGTCTCTAAAACAGGATCAACACTGGTTAATGAAGGTTGTGAATTTGTGCTACAACCTGTAGAAAAGTAAAATTAATTGAATCAAAAGATAGGATTTAAAAATAATATATGCATCAAACGAGATATTTAGCAAATGTTCCTAATTAGTCATTGAATTATATAAAGTGAATTCGTGAAGCTTTTGATAAATAATATCCAATTAAGTTTCACAACAAATAAAACTCATTTAAATCCAATTGAGTGATCAATGTAATTATCCAGTTAACCCACACAAGTACATAGATGATGGGAAAATGAACGCAGAAGTAAAGAGTAGAACATTAACAAGACCAAGAGGCTGTGATAATAGGAACAAATTTGCAATAACAGGAATCGGCAAGGAATACGATTTCTACCTCTAGAACCCTACATATAACTAATCCGTGGGAATATATCAGAAAACATTTGTTTAGATTTTTTGTGAAAAATGATTGAATAACCTATGATGATTGGTCCTACGCTTGAGTTAACTGTCCAATAAGATTATTTCGGATACAAAGCATCACAAATCTGGAACTAAAACAGAAAATTTCATTCCTTCTTGTCCAAAACATCGTGGAAACTACTACAGGACACGCCAATGAAAAGCGAACTAACAAAAACAAACATAGTGAGCACTTGGATGAAAATAGAACGGACTATGGAAAGTTAGTTGTAAGGTAACCCTTTAGTCTCACGTTGCCCTTAATTTTTTCTGGAAAATATGTAACGACTTGATGCGCATTTTAATATCAGATTAGTCTCATCCGCTCATGAAGTGATAGATAAGAACCACGTTGTAACAACCCCCCTTAAAGATTACACCAAAAGACATAACATACTCCTTATCTACCTATTCAATTTCCTTTAAATTATCACGAAATTTATTGTGCCTAGTCCGGCGACCCATGACTTGTACATCCCTAGCAATGTAATTCCTATTTCTATTGATAACCGAAGAAATGCGACATTAAGATATTACTGTTTAGTTCCTGTAAAACGCGCTAATGGAGGATGCAACATAGACAAGGCTGCACCGTTAAATGAACATATCAGATAACATAACAACATTACTCTTATTAGAAACCTTAGGAAAGGTGCCTCGTACTAGGTCAGAAACATGTTAGCATTACTATTAATCGCGCTTTTTCGAACAATCCATACATTAACGATGGACATCACCAATATTAGTAACCTTAATTATCTAAATCTCAAGAACTAATAATTGATGATGCTATCAGTGGTCTAATCCACTACAAAAGTAGCTGAAACGTACTTTTTGACACCAGGATAGTGAATTGTATTATTTTATTGACAGCTAGGATTCCAAGTGAACCGACAGCAAACATGGTTCAGAAATTGATTAGCATGAACATCTTAATTAAATGGTCTTTTTAACAGTGATACCTCACTTGACTAATAAACATCCAGTAATATGCAAACTAGGAATGGGAAAAATAAGTACTGACAATTGTAAGCGTTCTGCAAGAGAACCCGTGGAAAATGAGTACATGTCATTGCACTATGGAATGTCTTGTTTTTTTTCTATTATAAAAGGGAACAATTAAACATGAAGTGTGAAGTCCTACGTTAGTATCTGCCAAGACAACAAACCTCAGCAATGTTGTTACATATTTTACGAGGAGTATGATAGTATGCAAAAAAGTTCAGTCTTCATCCACCAAGGATGTAAAAGACTATACTTACGTGTTCCATGAAGTTGATCAGACAGTTTTGCAGATTTCCACATACGCTTTGTGAACCACCTACGTAACTTTCGTGGACTAGGATTGCTTGATCCAGAGTCGCTGCGTGACATACCTGTCTCACCCTTAGTTAACAGAACAGAAGAATTATTAGTGCGCGATATTTTGTTTCGCGGGGTTGAAAGTCTGCGTATCAAATTAGTAAACAGTGACTTTCGATTCGGTGTATTCGATGAAACACACGGTACTGAAGGTCTTTTTGTGTTTGTGTCCTTAGGCAGAATATTAGGTACTAACTCTTGGTGTGGCACAGACCCATTTGTAACGATAGAACTGCCCATTGATGACTTGGCCGTAGTTTCCATCGGTAGAAATGTAGTGATGACGTCCACACTATTTTTGTGATCTATTTGGTGGATTTTAAGTTTATTGGACGAGAAGTTATTTAATTTACCCAACGTTTGTACGCCTTCTGACATCCCCGGAGAGCTTAGTCTGACGACTATAGTCCTAGTCCGTGGCTTTTCCTCAACAATATCAAGACGCGGCCTATGAATAGACTGACTGTCTTTCAATCTCAATTTATCTGCCACTGGTGTAAAGAAAGACACAACCTATGTTAAGCCATTATAAAAAACTACATTTTCGTACCTCAGACTGCAGTAGGTTACGTCGGTTGGAAGTAATATAGCGGTCATCTGACCATTAAACTGAAGTGTGATGATTCTTAGCTTACCTTTAACGCTGATCTCAGTGTCCCCCTGCATAACATTCACAGAAACAAAAAGCACACGCTTTTACAGAACTGAAAGCCGCGCTACGGGTCCATTATCCAATATCTCCGTGATTGTTGGTTCTTAAACTGCCGACTTTTCATGAGTGTTTTGATATCCAAGAACGATCCTGGGTCTTCCTTACATAGCAATATGATGAGTCATATGATACAGAAGATTATAAAGTTAAGCGACATCAATCAAAACCTTCCTAGAGTAGGAAAAATTAAAAATAATATACAGAACGATCCGCAGGCACCAACAATGTGAATGTTTTCATCACCAGATTGATTTCAGGTCTTATTCAAACCACTATGAACAACTGCTAGTATCAATCCTCTTCAAGTAAATTTCTGAGTGTCTAGTGTTCTCTTGAATTGATTACCTCTAAGTTCAAACACCACAAAATCTCTATTATATGGATATTTATTTCATTCTTGGCACTTGAACTAGCCTACTATGTTCCTGAGCTTCCTTATCGTAGCCAAACGATAAATGAAAGCTTTATTTAGTCCAAAGTAAATTACTATTTTAGATATTCACAGAACACACATTATAATCTACACTAAGACAGAATTAGGAGATCTGACCAATAGAGGCATAATGTGCACAGTGGCCCTCGTAAATCCTGATTTGCATCGACAGTTGTCATTTTTTCTTTTCTTCAAGCTATCCGATTTGCCTATTAAGCATAAAATTTCAACCTAAACATAATTTTCAAGTCCGTATCTCCCCCCAATCTAGACTAGCCGGCCAGAAGGTCTAGCTCAGCCTGGAGTGCACATGCATCCTTTATTACTTCTCAATAAATGTTGGCATCACTGGCATAAATTAACATTGTAGACCAAACAATACTGCGGAGTTAATCTTTGCAAAATATCTAACGTAAAGTACTCAAAACGGAAATTTTTGTAATCCTTACTATCACATTAATATGACTTCATATATTTGTCAATATATTCCTCAATTGCTCGGGCAAATCACATAAAACATTTCAGAAATTTTTTCATTAGTTTCTTGTACTCGCTTGTTGCAACCGACTTGTTATGCTTTATTGGTTTATTTTTTATTTAACCTGCGGTCAACGTTGTGCTCGATCGTATTGTCATGTTATGATATACATTAGTTCAACACTGTTCTTTATCTTCAGATCATTCTGGATTCACTTCTCAGCCGCCCAGTTTTGATATGGCTAAGTAAAATGTGAGTGTAAAGTGGCTTGTTTGGAATACGATGAGTACGCTTATTTCCATGGTTTACTGCGTTTAGAGTTTTGGCATAAAAATCCAAAACATTTTACTGGATACTATCTTCATAGATCAGTCGTAACATACTGCAATCATTTGTATCTCTCCTCATAATTTCATTGAGTTACAATATGTAAAGAATAGGAGGGAAACGTAAATAATGACTGTTACTTGAAAACTTTCATCGCTTACCGTAGATGTGGAACTTGAGAAACTACTGCGTACACAGCCATCATAACATGTGTAATTTCTGCTTGTAACACTTGTGGAACTGTTGTGTGATAATGTGTAAATTTACGTCCTCTTTAAAGGTTTATCAATTCACCTAACAGGCACATCAATCGGCGTCCCTATTATACTTAAAATCCATTTTATAAAGCCCTTCTGAAACTAATGAGAAAACCACTAACCTTCAACTTATGAATTTGTGGGGCATCGGGCCGTAACCACAAAATCCTCAAAGCTGAACACGAGACAACTGGGAAAACAGGTATCCAACACTGAACGCAGAGAAAGACCCAACTATGGAGAAGGCGGGAACAAGGAATTGAAGGAATTCGAATTGATCGGACTCGGCCTTGCAAGCGTGGTCAATCTCAAGTGTTGTAACATAATTTTTTATTCATATTAAATATATTGATCTATCGAAAGCCTATGTTTGTTCTCCATCATATATTTGGTGATTGTTACAACGCGATGAGTTGGTGTAGACAATGAAGTGACTGGCACGTAAGATCTTATAGATTATGCAGTAACGTCATGACAAATGTGCAACTTTAGGACTAAGCCTATTAATAGAGTAGTACTAATATCATAGTAGACCATAATTACACAAATTCATTACATCAGTTACCAAGCCCCACTATCCTCTAATAACTTAATTTAATCCATCCAACTAACAGCTTAATCTTGCCACATTGTCGACATGTCAAATCAAAATCAAAAATATAACCAATCAAAGACGAACTATTACTTCATGTAGTTTCAAAGTCTATTCCATATATGTGATAAAAAGGTTTTGGGGAGAGATACATACATGTTTTCAAATTAATATGCTAAGGGCAAATACAAGATGAGTTTGCATCATTAGCATAAAGTGGCATTGTGAACTTAACAATACTGCGGAGTTCATTTTCGCAAAGTGTCTAACGTTAAGTAATTAAAACGGAAATCGTTTTAATCTATACTATCCCGTATATGTAATAAGGGGGTTTGGGGGGGAGATTCATACATGTTTTCAAGTTCGTATATTAAGAACAAATACAAGATGGGTGGATTCTATGTTATATGATTCTCGTGGTTCATTAAAGGTAGATGTTAGTGGTTTTGAGCAAGATCTCTGCGTTCGCCCAACTGTCTTTCCAATAAAACCAATCAGAGTGTTGTATTTAGGTTGATCAAACTGTCAGGAACTATAAATAAAAGTCCGTCAATCAATGCATGTACAATTTCTAAGTATCATTTTTAAATCAAGTAATTTGAAAACTTTGATGGCCTTATACTCTTAGATACTGTCTATCTTACACCGTCTGGGAGTTCGAGGTCTCCTGAGACAATCCCTTTAGGGTTTATCTATCATAGTCACTTAAATGTGACTTCCAAGGCAGTGTAAACTACCCCATAAACTGAGATAACTACTCCACCCTACAAACTACCGTTTAGCTGCTCAAAAGTACTCCGAAGTTCATGCCCAAGGAATGTTGCGGAGAATAATAGTTCTTGATGTGTAAGTCCACAATGTAGATTGCTTTCAAAAACTGTAGTAGGCTAAAAAAAAGTTTAAAGACAAAAATGGAATAAAAACAATATCCCGATCAGAAATAGCCAGATTTTATGCTCCGATCAACCCTAAAACAGCAGTGGCATGGTAGCTAGTAAAGAAAGACCTACATGTGACATCTGGGAAAACGTGTTTACTCTACGCAGTGGTGAGGACTCGAAAATCTAAATCGCACGACTCACTACCATAATTTCTAAAAAAAAGCCAAGAATAAATTTTCCTATCTCACGAATAAATGGTACCATCGATGCAAAACCAGCATAAACAAGCACGTTTGGATCAACTGAAACACTGAAAACTGTAACACGACCATTTACTGAGTTGTGATTTTTAAGTAAACTACGGAACTGCTTTTAGTCTAATTAAGTCTAAAACTTTCATGAACTTCATTTGAAGTACATAGTATAACCTTACATTGTTTTGTCATTGTTGCATCCTTCACTTGATTACGACCAATATGGGATATGACTTTGAGATTCGAACGCGTAGAAGCTATAATGGCGGATCAAAAAGACAGAAGAAAGCAAGAGAAACATTTGTTGCGTAAGTGTACAAGAAGTACACAAGAACAGGTGTGTTCGAATTTTCTAGTATGGGCTTTAACATCATCATAGCTGAACTAATTCCCAATTAGGAAGTTTGCTCAATTGTCTAATGATAGCATCTTCTATTAGTACTGGAGAATTTTCCTACCGGAATATGATAAGATGGAATCTCTCCGACTCATTTAGAGTCTCTGGAGGCTTCTTCTGGCTCCTGAGATCCATTCCAACACCTCATAGCAATTGTCCGTTCTGTAATCTACTTGTAAATTAATAACTGGCACTGACGCTTCACTTTTCGTTATCTCCGTTTACCAGACCCTCTTTTTTATCCTTAAAATTTCCCTGTATATTTGCATCATTGAAGCATCTGTAATTATCTCTAATGGTAGTTTCGTTTGGCAATCCCTAGTGTCCATTGTCCTTTTATCTTCATAAAATTAGTTGGTATGTCCAATGCGTGTTTCGAATGCTCACCTCATGTTATACAAGAATCTACCCGTTGTTTGAACAGTTGTCCCAGGTTCCATTGGCATCGGCCCTGGTATGATTTAGCGAATACTCTTTCCCTCACATCAAATCTGCGAATACAACTACTTTTTCCGTGGTCATCCACCCTATCGGATGCTAACAAAGTGTCGAATATCAGTTCGATGCTTCTACTGAACATGACTTCAGCTGATGACTTCCCATCTGACGAAACAGGATTGTAGTTGGTTCTGTTAGGTGGCAAGAACTCAGAGGTCACTTGACTCAGCATCCTCTCGTCTTTCCCTCCATGTAGTGCTATTTTGAAGGTGTCCACAAAACGTCCTGCATTTCCGTTAGACTGAATATGATGGGGTGGATAGCACGAGCGCTCCACCCAAACGACAGAATATTTTAGACAAGTGAGAAGCGAATTTAGAGCTACTACCTATCACCAAGGCTTTCATTACCACGTAACAGTCAAAAAACCTAGACGGCTTGCTGTTCGTTTCTTCGGCTGAACAGTTCGGCATAGTACATATTTCCGGCCATTTTGTCATTGCAACTACGGTAACTAGAAGCATTTTTCCTTGAACTGGACAGGCGGAATTTGCATTGAGTTCCGTCCAGGGTCCAGCAAGACATAGATTATTTTTGCGGTTCACATTCCGTAGGGTTTTTAAAAGCTTGCAGAACAGGCGAACATCTATGGAGCTTATCTTTGATATCTCTTTCCATTGATGGCAATTGATGGCATAACTTTGGGTCAAGCATTTCATCCTGTTGATCCTAAGGTGACCACTGTGAATTTACCCGTGAGCATTTTGATGCAGTAATCCTAAGACAGTAATTCAGTCACCGAACATAACATATGAGCCAATAACCATCAATGAGTCATGTCGGCAAACGTTTTGAAAATGTTCTCTTTAAAAATGATGGTTTTGTCATCTGGTAAGAAGATAGCCCCCAACTACTCTCAATGTCTCACTACTTTCAGTAATTTATTGAATAGCTTCGTAGGTAACCAGAAGTCCATCAACTGCATCATCCAGTACGCCGCAAAACTTTTCAGCTTTTATGTCTGCCATGAATGTCTCCCGAAGTTTTCGTTCGCAGCCTTTTGATCTCTATAATTTATCTGCTTGTCCAAAAACTGTAGTGGACTGGTACTTGATTTGAGATCGCAACCTAGAAGTTTGGTTGCACATTGTTACGGTCTGTAACCCGAGTGAACAAGGGCCCAAATCTTCGCTTGAATACAGCTTGTAATGGTACATGGTCTTTTACTGGAGTAAACTGCCGTCCGAATAACATTTTGTAGAAGTTTCTTTACGGGAAAAGTAATTCCCAGACCTTCT